CCCTCGCGCAACATTTTAAAGCATAAAATTTTATGAAAATCTACCACAATGCGATTTTTTCAATTCCCGAAACGTCAAATAAATCAGAATGTAATTAAAAATTTGTATATTTAACATAAAAATCGAATTTTAATTAAAATAAAATAGTTAAAAAATATCGTTTATAATCTGTTACTGCTCCATATTTAAAAACTGCGCTGCTAACTTTAGTAACTCTAAAAATACTAAAGAAATTTTTATGATAAAATCACCGATATCGTTTGACAAGATCGTGTCTAGTTGTGTTTTAGTTAATTTAATTTTATTTTTATAAGCTTTTTTCACGCCTTTTCTTGTAACATTAAGCATTTTTTCCGTTTTTGACTCACCCTAAGCAAAATCTCGTCGCTACAAGTGCGACAGTAAATATGCAAATATTTATAAATTTGCTTTGCGAATGTTTTTGTAAGAATAATAAAAGTTTTCACTATGAATTGCTGATAAAATAATATTTGTTTATATGTCTAGTGATTTTCGCCATGTGTCAACATACAAACATGCGCACACATTAGCAGCGCATTGTGATTGCAAAAAGTTCACTGTCCGCACTAACTAATCCCTTAGGTACATAAGCGTCTATACGCATACAAGCATTAATATGTACTTACACATACACATACATACATATTCTATTCTATTTCTATGCACGAGTAAGCAAATACGATTGCAGTTTTTAAACGCATTTGCTAATAAACAGATAATCTGTAATGTCTGTATTTATATATACATATGTATGCATGTATGTGTATACCATACGATTTCAAGTCTGAGTTAAATACATATGTATGTATATATGTAATTTCTCAAGCGCATAATTGCCGCCAAACAGCTCAATTTTCGCACACGAACGACACAGAGCCACCATTTGCATAAATGCAATACGCACACAGGTAACGGTAGATACGACGTTGAGCACGGCAAATCGTAGGTGTGTCGGTGCTAAGTGAGTAGGAGGATTTTGCGGTTTTGTGGCAACAGGCACATAAGTCACCCTAATGACTTTACATATCGGATTATAATTTTATAGTTATTTGCGAAAAATCGTTAAGGACCTAAGTAGTGGATTATCCGGCTGGGAGAGTCAAAAAGTCAACACTCGTTTGTTGTTTTCAAATTGGATTTATTTGATTGAAAAGGAAGTAAATGCTGCGTAGAAAGAAAAAGTAAGAATACACAGCGTGGATCTGCAGAGTGAAGTGTAAATTTCTGTGTTGTTTGGTAGACTAATAGAGTTCAAATGACTTAAGGGGTTACATCCACTTGCAAGACCGAAAAAATGCGTATTAGTGTGAATTTTTTTTTACGACTTTAAAAAAAATAAACATAAAGCGAATTTAATATACTTTTAAAATCGGAGATTAATTTTTCGGTTAATTTTTTAAGTAATTTAAAAGGTGTCTGGCGGTGGGGAAGATATATCGGCGAAAACGACCAAACCTGCGACCTGTTGTACCAACAATTGGACCTTCTGAAGGACTCAATTGCACAGAAGCGGCCAGCTTTGGTCAATAGGAGAGAAATTATTTTCATCACCAGGCCACACACATCGATAGTGGCTCAGAAGAAGCGCCGGGAGCTTGGTTGGGAAGTTCCATCTTATAGTGCGGACCTGTGGCTGTCTGTGGCGAATGATTTTGCTGAAGAAAAATTCGACTGAAAAGAAGCTTGTGGAAATCGATTGCAAGACGAGAGCCAGAATTGGTAAAGGAGAGGAAATCAATGTATAAAAAAATCCAGCAACTGCACTTATATACATACTTGTATGTATGTATGATATCAAAATTCAAAAGGAAACAATTTTTTATTGAACATGCGATACTTTTAATTAGCAACATCAATGCACACACATACATACATATGTATGTAAACACAGAAAAAATACATTTCTAACAGTATAGGTAGCCAGTTATTAACGATTGAAAAGGTGCCAGCAATCAAATCCTCACTGTAAATAACAGGTAAAATTATTATAAGAAATCAGCAATTGTAATATTAAAGTAACGGTTGCATTCAAAAAGCAATAATATTTCTTAAAGAAATTTGCATAAGAACTGATGTAATGTTCTTTTCCAATTTAATTTATGCAAATTTTCTAACACCTCATTTTCTTTTACCCTTCATTACTTACTTGCAACGGTGACAAACGAGATATATGTACAAACATACATACTACATACTTATGTATGCATATATATATAGTTATATGGTAAATAACTGACTTAACATCTGTATGTGCGTATGTATGTATGCTCATACTTATGCATATGCGCTAATTTTCTGGCGCCTTTTATTAATCAATTGCTTTACATTTATGAGCAGTATCGAAAAGTAATACATTCAATTGATATACAAAGATTTATGTAAATACTTAGGCATACATACATATAATACTATGAAAATAGCGGGAATATAATATATATAAAATTTTATCGATTTTCGAGGTTGAAGATTTTAAAATCATTTTTATTTAAAATCACTTTTTCCAATATGTATATGCTGAGTATATTTAAAAAATATATATTTTAAGAAAAAAAATTAAAAGTTTATAAATTAATATGATATTTTATATATGATAGGCAGCGTTGCAAATAATGTATTAAAAAGCCAATTGTATTAACGATATTTTAATTTTTCTTATTTTGTATTCCGAATAATCTTCTTAAAAAAAATACTTTGCTAATTTCTGATCGCAAATACTGAATTGAAAAATTAAAAATAAGTTTTAATCCCAAAAAATGTAATTAATAATTAAAAATACAAATTTTAAATCTAATTTTTCGTATTGAAAATTAATAATTAAAAATGCAAATTTTAACCCTAATTTTTCGTATTGAAAAATTAAAAACTATTTTTTAATCCCAACTGCATAATTGGAAATTAAAAAAATTTGTTTTTAAATTCTAAGATATTTCGTGCTTGCGTCTTTTTGTTCTATAATGTGGGTTATCTTTTAAAGCAAAGCTTATTATTATTAAAATTTCAACACTTAACCTTGTCTAATTTACATTTATTTACTTTTTATTATAATATTTCAATTAATAATATTAAAACTATACGTTTTTCCCTCTTTTTTTGAAGTTTTTGATTTGAAAAAACTTTTTTTTTATTTCTTACCCCAATTTTTAAGTTAAAAAAAAATATTTTATAAGTTTTTAATTCTGATTTTGAACTTAAAAAATAAGTTTTCAATTTTTAATTTAAATTTCTTAAAATTTTTTTAATGTTTAGTTACTTTTTTTCAAATTTTTAATTGCAAAATATACATCAAAAATTGGCAATTTAATTTTAAATTCCAAATTTTTGAGTTACAGAGCTATCTATACATGTTTTTGTAGATTTGTGTGTGTTATATAATTTATAAGCAATTTAAACTTCTTTATCGACTTTCCATTAATTTTATTTTTCCTATTGAAAGTAAATAATAATAACTAAATCTAAAAAGGTAACGGTATAGCAGCTATGTATGTATATGCTACAGCGGTCCGATCTTGAAAATTTATTCGAATATAGTAACGTTGCCTTGGATAATAATTTATGCTAATTTTCGCGAATATATTTTCTCAAATAAAAAAGTTTTCCATACAAAAACTTGAATGTATCGTAAAAATATATATATAAAAATATACAATGTGTTATTATATTATTAATGATACATGCCTTGCAAATTGTTTTAAATATCCCAATGTAATTTTTCCCATTCGATTTCCATTTTTGCCCCTACTGTCGAACGCAGTTGCAGAAACGATTACGATACACGCATACATACATATATACATGCACATGTATGTATGTGCTCCAAAAAGTCAATTGGGCCTGCACCCACACACACATGCACATAGATTTCGCTTCATAATAGTCTGTGCAGCGACGCACACGAGCGCCAACGGGAGCCGGGACGCGAAAGTGGCAAATGCGATGGCGAATGCAAACGTCTCTTTTTCGTACACGCACCCACCAAATACTAGGAAAACGCAACTGCAGCCGCAAAAAAGTGCATACAACAACTGAAAACAAAGCAAAAACAAAATAATAATAATAAAGCAAACAACAAACACACAGCAGCGTTGGCAACAATTCAAAAATGTGTAAATGGCCGCGTAACGATCCAGCGATCGCTGACTCGCGGCAGTCGCGAACTCGCTCATGCGCTCGCATTTTGCCATGCATTCCGATGGCACAAGCAAAAGCTACAGAAAGAACAAAAACAGCAAAAACGCAAATGAAATACACGCGTATGCTGCTGCTACGGCGTATTTGTGTATATTTTCACTGCATAATTATTGTTGTTGTTGTTTTACCACATATTCATTTGCCAATGCCAACGATCGCTGCCGCCACTGCAATTGCATTTGTTGTTTTCCCACTCACTCACACTCGCGTGCAAATGTGTCGCGTATGCATGCACAAGTGCCAATGTGCTGCTGTGTATAACTGTTATACGCGCGGCACGGGAGAGGAGCGGAGAGCGCCACATTGGCGAATAAAAGTGTTGTTGGTATGTACCAAGCGGCAACGGATGAGTGCAGCAAGGGGAAAATGCATGCGCTGCGTTGCAATGCAGAAACGCGGTGAGAGTATTTTAGAAATGTTTGTTGTTGTTGGTGGTTTTTGCTTATTTATCGTCTTTGCTGCTGTATAACAGTCGAATAGCACAGAATTTCCCCAGCGCACTTATTGCAATGCATTTTCTCCTGCCAAGGGCCACCACCACCACCACTACAGCAGAGGCAAAATGTGCTACGGATACATATATTTATATATATATGTATATATATTTCTATGCGTGCGCGCGTGGGTTAGTGAATTTTCTTTTTGCTTGGGTTTTCACAAACATTTCTCCTGCAATGCAGAGAGTCTGATTTTTTCCCTATGCACAGCCAGCGCGCAGGGGCAATGCTGAAGTCGGTCGGTCGGTCGGTTGGTGGCTGAGGCGCCGCTTTTCTAATACAATACGCTAGGGTTTGTCTTATTTGGTTCGTGAAGAGGGTGTTTGCCAGTGTGTTTGTCATTGTGTTTGCCCAATTGAGAGCGGGGAAAATGAAGCGTAGAGTATGAAAATTTTTGGATTGACTTGCCGCGTGCACCGACAGCGCATTTTTATTCAAGTTTGAGCACTCGGATCTGCAACAACGCAAAGTGACGCAGAAAAAATACAAAAGCTAAAAAAAAAAACTAAAAAAATTGGGAAAAACACAAAATTCCGCACAAGCTTGTAATTCAGCTAAAAACTTAACTGTGACATGCAGAAAAAAATTACAACAAAATATTAAAACAAAAATAACAACAAAATATAGAAATAAAAATAACAACAAAATATATGAAAATAAAAAATAACAACAAATATATTAAAATTAAAATAACAACAAATGAAATTATTAAAATTATAACAAATTAAAAATAACAACAAAATATAAAAATAAAAATAACAATAAAAATCACTCAATACAATAATAAAGCCAACTGTAAAAGTTTGAACAAACTTGCTGCGTTTGAGCGTTGTGTGAAAATTGCAGTGTACAAACACGGAACGAAAGCAATAACATTTCTAAAGTGAGCAAAAACAATTTGTTTGTTTGTGTACTACTATTATTAATTATAAAAATATTTTTATTAAAACATATTTTTTTATTTTGTTTTTTGGAAAATTGTACTGATTTTTTTTTCGAAATTGCGAATTTTCGGTATATAATTTCTATGGCATTGCAAATTATACAGTTATTTGTGCAACGTATATACATACATACATAAGCATAACAATACGTGGCTACAAGTTTGCTGGCGCTGCAAGCGACTTAGTGTTTATATATAAGCATATATCTACAGAAGTAGAAATATGTGCTTGGAACTGATTATGATTGCAGTGGAGCTAATGTATTTTTTTAACAACAAAAACAAAAAGTGTTGCTTAACATTTGCTAAAAAAAACCGAATAACTCTTGATTTTGTGAACTGTATACCTAAAAACTCTCAAAAGTTTAGCGCTTCAATTGGCAACGCACCTGCAGGCAAACAGTGCAAGTGTGCAGTGCAAATTAATTCATGCATTTAAAAAAAACGTTATAAAAAGTGACAATTTTATTTTAAAAAAATTATAATAAAGTGCAAAACCATACAAATTTTCCGTAGCCAAAATAATTATGTATGTATGTATGTACGTGTGTATGCAAACACAAGCAATGCTGCATGCAATTTAGTTGTAAATATATATAGCATATATAGTTAAAACATGACACTAATAGCAAATGCAGTTAGCTTTTTGCAAATATTTTCACCAAAACAATGCGAAAAGCTACGCAATAATTTTTTGGCACACACGGTACTCGCCTCCCTCACCCACACTTTGAATGGCTGCCCGCCCAACTTTGTGCAGAATATGCGGCGCGCTCTCTCTCTCTCTCTCACTTTCAAAAACATTAACCACCCCCTTAAATATGTTTTACGCAAAAAATCCACCCAACCACTCGGCCATCTTTCAAGGATTCGTAGCGCTTTTGCGCTTTCATTCAAAATTACCTGCAAAGTGAGCATCAGAAAAATTTGCAAATACACACTTGTGTATATAGCGGCTTACATATGCCACTATATGTTGATATATAACACATATACCTATATATATAAACTATATGTATATATATATATATACCTATATATATCTACTTTATACTTGTATGTAACATTATACAGGTATATAACAAGCCGCTTTTTTCCACCTGAATAAACTGTTAATACATTTTTTTTTAATTTCTAATAATGCGTATTAGCTAATTTATAAAATTCTTAACACTATCAGGCTTATTAAAAGTTGAAAGTGCTTCTAAATTTTCAAAAAAAAAATACTTAACCATTATTAAGCTGAGTCGATTTAGCCATGTCCTTCTCCCTGCATATAAGCGAAATGGTCCCTCAGTTTTTGAGATATTGTTTTGAACTTTTGCACACGTTTATTTGTTTCAGAGAAGCTGCTCTTTTATCAGAACTGCCGATATTGCACCACTATAGCATATAGCTGTCATACAAACTGACCAATCAATATCGAGTTCTCTTATGGAAAACTTTTTTGTTTGAGAAGATATCTTCAAGAAATTTCGCACACATTATTATCCAAAGCTACGCTATTTACTCCAGACTTATTGTTCAAATCGAACAACTATAGCATGTAGCTGTCATACAAACTGACTAATCAAAGTCAAGCTCTTGTTTGAATAACCTTTTTGTTTGAGAAGATATCGGCACGAAATTTGGCATAGCTTATTTTGAAATGCAACTCTATAATATCGCAACACATTGTTCATATTGAACGACTATAGCATATAGCTGTCATACAAACTGACCAATCAAAATCGTGATAAAGATTTTTGTATACTCTTTTATGATATAAGAAAACTGTGAAGGGTATTATAGCTTTGGGGCAGCTGAGGTTAACGTTTTACTTATAAACGGATTTAAATTTGAAAAAAAAAAATTTGCAATATATAATTCTACTATGCGAGTATATACAATTGTTTTTATATAATTCAAAAGTATATATAATATATGTATGGTATATAACCTATATACTCGTATGTATAAACAAAATTCAAAACCCTTATTATAGGCCTTCAAGCGCTAAGTGTAAATGAGTTGCATACTTAATTTTTGTTATAAAATGTATGCGTATGTATATATGTATGTATGTATGTAACAACAATTGCTGGTTTACATAAATTAATTATGCTGATATCGTAACTACATATTTTTACTTATTTATTTTTGCAAATTTTTTGTTATAATTTTCTATTCGTTGCTATAAAATGTAAAAAGCTTTTTTATGCCGTTGTTGCTGTTTACAGTGGCTGCAGCTTTTTTCACACACATATGCATGCATACAAACAAACATAAATGACTGCGACAGCCAAGCTTATACACAAACCGGAAACGCAAATCATACCAATACACACACAGAGAGAGGCGAGCTCGTGTCGATTACGCTTGTAGCTTTTGCCGATCGTAAACTTACTTTGTTCACACACGCTTACATATTTTGTAGCAAAGCAATATTTTAGCAGATTTATACCCACAATAGGTGGCTTGTTTGTAACATCCAGATGGCAACGTCGGAGACCGTATAAAATATATAATATAATAAATAAATATATACATAAATGATCAGCGTGATGAGCTCAATCGATTTAGCCAAGCTCATCTGTCCATCTGTCTGCATATAAGCATGCTAGTACCACATTTCTTGAGATATCGTTCTGCTCGCGTTTATTTCTTCCCAAAAAGCTGTTCATTTGGTGGAAATGCTGATATCGGACAGCCATAGCATATAGCTGTCATATAAAATGAGCGAGCAAAATCAAGTTCTTGTATGGAAAACTTTTTTTTTTGAGAAAATATCTTCACTTAAGTTGGCACAGACAGATCGGATTGCTATAGCATATAGCTGCCATACAAATTGCACAAACAAAATCAAGATAAAGATCTTTTTATACCTTCTTATGCTATAAGTGATGAACCTGTGTAGGGTATTATAGCTTCGGTGCAGCCGATATTAATGCTTTTTTTCATTTTATTTAAGCTTATTTATGTACATTGCTATAAATATATATAATTAAAGAGCTATATGCTGCGTCTCAAATAATTTGTGTCTTATATCAAGTTATATCAGGATATCTTAGGATATGTGATATACATGCATACATATGTATGTACAATACTTATAAACCTTTTTGTCGGTAATGTGTTAACACATATATAATCGGTGCTATTGTGTCAACGCCGAAAATCATACCAAAACTATATTATTCGATCAGTAACACGCAAAAGTTAATCCGATTTAAATGCTGATCGTTTCTACTGCCAACGCTGTGCCTAGACGCATGCGCAATACGAAAACGATCGCAGCAGGTCATTGCCAATAGCACAATGCCAGCGCGCTACTGCAATTTATTGCGCAAAAATACCAAACAATGCAGACAAAGAAAATTGCATTATACCACAAAGGAGTTCTTGCACATTTTTTAAATTTTTTTTTGTTTTATACAATTTTTTGTTTTTGTGAAAAGATCCTTGGGAACAGTCAACCTGATAAACTGACAACCTGACAGCACTCTAGTCCTTGTGTGTTTGCGCAAGTGCAAATGTGTGTGTGTGCGTGTGTGTGTGTATGTATTCCTTTGTATACTGCTTTGTCATTTTTCATTTTGCTGGCGTCCGTCTTTTCTTTATTTGCACCCTCCATCAATTATTTTCCACACGCACACGCACAATAGCTATGGAACAACGCAAAATAAGGTGAAAATCGCAAACGCAATCAAGAGCGTATAAAGGAAAATGAAAAACGTAGCATACATGTCACGACCAAACAAACACATGCACAAACGCCGCTTTGGTAAAATGTCTGGAACATCAATATTTCCCTATTCTTATAAATATATTTTCGTGACGGTTTCTATTCTCTTGGCGTGTCTCGTATTTTTAATGCATTTCCTTTGCATTCACCAATGGTATATTGGTGGAGTTGAAAAGATTAATTGTTTGCCAAATAAAAACGTGCAATTTCTCAAGTTTCGCTTAGAAAACTACGCGCACTTGCTTTCCGCGATCACTACGCCCCTACAAGACGTCTCAATATCAGCTCGCGTTCGCCGAACCGCGCGTCAGCCATCCTTATTATTTTTATTTATTTTTTTTTTGTGTTGTGCGATAAGATCGGTATGGCGTTGGCGAACGCGTTCGCTCAAGTAGAGTTCGTTTTTGCAGCAATATATCTTCCACAATGTGAACGCCTTCAAAGGCAGTTAGGTTTCAAGTATTTTTTATGCATTTGGGTGAGCATACACTCACATACATGTGTGCGTAGAATTTTACTATATAATATTTTACTAATGAACTGTTGTTAGAACGCTTGTGCGCCTGCGATAAGCAGCGAGCACTTCTTGAAGCGCTCCTACAGGCGCATTACCCATTGTAATGAGATCTACTGACTGCCTGCCGCTGTGGGTACACATTTCATATCTACAAAGAGCAATCGTTAAGCGATAAGAAATTAGACGCGCGTTTGCATTTGCGCTGACTATCTGCTCTGCGTACATACACACAACATGTGACAAAAAGTGTATATGTACCATATGTACGAGTATGTGTATTAGTGTGCTTCAAATAAATTTTTCATATTATTTCTCAACATTTACCATTAAATATTGCAAAATTTTCAAATTTGGAAAATTTTTGAATGTTATAGAAATTTTGAAATTTGAGAAAATTTTGATATTTCGAACAATTTAGATATTTGGAAAAATTTTCAAATTTAAAAAAAATTTTGAATTTTGGAGAAATTTTGAGTTTAGGAAAATTTTGAATTTTGGAGAAATTTTCAAATGTGAAGAAACTTTGACATTTGATAAAAAATTTTGAAATTAGGGGAAATTTTGAGTTTTAGAGCATATTTTGAAATTGAGAGAAATTTTGAAATTGAATTTTATAAAGATTTTGATAATTGGAGAAGTTTTTATATATGAAAAAATTTTAATGTTGGAGAAATTTTTAATGATGGAGATACATATATTAAAATTTGGAGAACTTTTCAAATTTGAAGAAACTTTGATATATGATACAAAATTTGAAATTATAAGACATTTTTAATTTAAGAGCAAATTTTAAAATTGAGAGAAATTTTGAAGATTTTTGAAATTACGAAAAATTTTGAATTTTAGAGAAATTCTGAAAATTTGAAATTTAAAGCAATTTTGAATTTTGGCGAATTTTGAAATTAGTAAAAAGTTTGAAAGTACGAAAAAATTTGAATTTTGGAGAAGTTTTAAAATTTGGAGAAATTTAGTACTTTTTGAATGGCTGTAACTACTATTTTTGTAAAGATAATCATACTTCGTCTTCGAGTTTAGAAGGACTCGACTTTACAGAGCGTAGAAATTCAACAACGCCTGCAAAAAACTAAATTTTTTTGTACTTAATGCCATAATAACTGCATCTACATACATATGGACATCCAGCAAAAAAAAACTTGAAATTTATGGATAGTCTCTAATCATTTATCATACCCACAGCTGCATTCTAAGAGGTCCTCTTAAGCGCTAAAACAGCTCAAAAATGAGCATTTTTAAAATACGTGCATAAGCACTCACACATACAAATAAAAACTATCAAGTGTAAACTGTACTTTTCCAACAAATATCCTTAAAGTGCATCCTACTTAGTCCTTGCTTGGCCTATTCTTTGACTTTCACATGTGGCATTCTTCGACTGCTCGGCAGTTGCATGCGCATGCCAGCATTTGGATAAGACATATGTGTATGTACTACATGTATGTATGTATGTTTGGATGTATGTACTTGAAACTGTCAAGTAGTTGTACACATGTTGCATTTGAAATATTATAACAGTTTTAATTACACATATAAATACATACATACACATGTGCAACAAATGCAAATGAAAGTGTCGCATAAATACTGCTATGAAAATGTGTGTATATATGCATAGCAATTATAATTTATAACCTTTAGGTTTGAGTCAAATTACCGCTTATATTGAGAAATTTTGAGGTATGAAAAAAATTTGAAAATTTTCAGCTATTTTGAAATTTTGAGAAATTTTTAAATTTCGAAAAAATTTTCTATATGGAAAAAAATTTAAATTTAGAACAATTTTTAAGTTTGGAGAAATTTTTAAACTTGAAAAAGTTTTTAAATTTGAAAAAAAGTTTAAATTTGGAAAAAATGTTTAAATTTGGAAAACATTTTGAAGCGATCCTCACATTCTGCTTTGCTTTAGAGTTTAGTAAAGCTCAAAGGCTCACCGCCTCAGGGAAAATGAAGATTTGAAACAACAATAATGCTGAAATTGTTTTGAAATATATATAATTTTTAATTTAAAATATAAAAATATTTCAAAATTATATAAACTTATAAAAAATTAAAGGCTATAGAAGCATTGTAGAGGGATATTAGGATATCAGCTGATGTACTGTTAGATTCTAAAGAGTTAGTGAAAATATTATATATATTCTTAAAAACAGTTACATACATATGTATGTACATATAAGCAGTGTTGCGAATTTTGTAATTAAAAAATTTTGTATAAAAATTCATTTGCCAATTTTTTATATTTATAAAATATAATTAAATGTAAATAAGCCAAGAAGTGAAAAACTTTGTTGATATTTTAATATTTTTCAGTGTATAGGTTAAAATTTTTTTTTTTGGTTATTTGATTTCTGGGAATACATTTTTTTCACTTTTAACATTTTAAATCGCAACTATCGGATTAGAAATTATTTTTCTAATTAAATATTAATTCAATTGTTTTTTAATGCATTATTTGCAACCCTGCTTATATATAATATTTTTGATTATTTACTTAAATATGTTTTTTAAGTATATCAAATAAGTCATTTATAAAAAAAAAAAAAATTTTCAATGTTCTTATTTGAAAACATTGTTTTTTAACGATTTCGATATTAGAAAATAAAATAATTAAACTTTTTTTGTGTTAAAAATCGTGAATTAAAATTTTTTTTAAACAATTTAAGTTTAAAAAATAACATAATTAAAATTTTTTTAACAATTTAGGTTTAAAAAATAAAATAATTAAACTTTTTTGTGTTAGGAATCGTGAATAAAATTTTTTTTTTAAACAATTTAAGTTTAAAAAATTAAATAATCAAATATTTTTTTAACAATTTATTAAAAAAATAAAATAATTAAACATATTCTTTACAATTTTGTTGTAAAAAAAATGCAGTAAATTTTTTAACCAATTTTGGTCTCAAGAATTTGTAATAAATATTTTTTTAAAACAATTTCGGTATTAGAAAATAAAATAATTAAACAAATTTGTTATTGAAAATAATATCATTAAATAATTTTAATGTTAAGAAGTTAAATAAATTTAAATAAACATTTTTTTTTTAAATAAATGATTTTTTTTAAACAATTTTTAACAAATTCAATATTGAAAAATAAAATAATTTGTTTAAACAATTTTGGTGTTAAAAATAAAATAAATTTTTTTTTTTAATTTCTACGTTAAAAAAAAATAACTAACTGTTTTAACAATTTCGTTGTGAAAAAATATAAACATAAAAAAATAATAATTATTATTGGTTAATGCGAAAGCAGTTGGTCTCAATATGTATTTATATACATATATACATATGTATACAAATATATTCACTTGCTATGTATATAGTTGCAATATTGTGTGTAAATATGTAAGCACATATATTTGAACCGCCTTCGAAAAAGTCGATAACGCAAATATGTACTTATTTACATATATGTACATAAGTACATGCATACATAAAAATAATTTATATATACATATATATATATATATATATACATACAAGTTAGTATATAAAAGCATAGGCATAAGTATGTGTGTAAGTGTACGCAGAGAGTATTAAAAATGTCCACCCCCAAAAAACGGCACTTTTTGGCAAAAAAATTCAACGTACATACATACATACATATCTGATGATAATATGCTGACTCTCATTTCCACCACCATTTTTGGGCGCATAAGATGTCAATAAATAAAAAAAAACATCAACTAAATATAGCAAAGCAAGCGTTAAAATGTTCATTTCATACAAAAGTAATAGCAAAGAGATCAATTTGCATACATATAGAGATGTATATATATATATATGTACATACATCTGTATATGTATGCAAATTAATTTTATATATATATTAATTTTATATATAATTATATATTTATATACATATAATATTATATATAAATATGTATAAATATAAATATGTATAATATTATATATTATATTATATACTTTTTTTAGAATTTTCGGTTTTATAAAAAATCATTTCCACTGTTTAGATTTACAAGTAACATATGTTTGTATACAGTTAGCTGTAAATCTAGCAAAATACTACATTAGTATAGCTAATATGAGTATAAGAATCATATTATATATTCCATCTTGTTCATACATACAATATACGTATAGAAGTATATGCCATACATACTCGTATGTATATACATGTACATATGTATTATATATGCGTATACTTGTATATGATGCGACATTTTCGAGTGAAACTCAAAATAAACTTTGCAATTTGCGCACTTGTTACTGTTTATTTCCATAATGAAAACTGCAGACAACCTGGATTGTATATTCGCAATGATGTAGAAATTTTCAAATTTCGAATAAAACTTCAGTTCAATTTTCCACTACACAAAAAAGAAAAATATTCGCAATATTCCAGTACGCACGAAAAAATAATATCTTTAAAAAGAATACGTTTTAAAACAAAGCCTCTCTCCCGTGTACTCTTCGCAGGTCCAATAGGCGATTGTAAAGCTTTAAGCTGGCTCTCAAAATACGCAAGAATCTCACCTATAATTCATCCACATCCTCATCAACCACCCCAACTAATATCGATCACGCATCCACAACCGCTACCGATCCTGAAATCACATTATCATCCTTGTCATCTGCCCTCTTACCGGCATCATTGCTGAGTACGACATTTCAGAATCTCATACCATACGCCATTGCAGGCATAGCGCCGGGACCGCATAATCTGTTGGCACCGCCGCCGCCGTCATCAGCGTCATTAACGTCTCTGCCGGCGGCGCTTGCGACGTCGAGTTGCGGCCCCAACACTAGTTCTAGCAGTGCCGCTATTAGCCCACAGACAAGCGCCATCAGCGCCGTTGCAGCACACGCAGCCATGGGTGGGCCACACCCGGCTTTACCGCCGACCATTGAGGGTCAAACATATTGCTTACGTTGGAATAATCACAAATCGAATCTTGTAGAGATTCTTGATGCTCTCATAAAGGTTGAGAGCTATGTGGACTGCACAATTGTTGTCGATGACCAAGTGCAATTCAAAGCGCATCGTGTGGTACTTGCCGCCAACTCGCCATATTTCCAGGCCATACTGCAGGATGTACCGATGGATCATTGCAGCATTATATTTCCCGGTGTCAAAGCGTTTGAAATGCGTGCACTACTGGATTATATGTACACCGGTGAAGTGAATGTAACACAAAGTCAGATACCCACAATAATGCGTATTGCCGAGGAGCTGGAGGTGAAAGGACTTTTCGATATGGCCGATCTAAAGGAGAAGTTCAACAAATTGAGCGAAGAACATGCGGATCGTGCCAGTCATGGTTATCCGTATGCGGCAGCTAGTACTTCGGGTCTAACAGCACCGTATGCCATGGCTACGAGTTCATCCGCTGCACAGGGCCTACCCAGTGTTGTACACAATGGTAAGGATCATCATGGCGCCGATTTACCAATGCCTTCACAACACAATTCCTCATCCGTGATCTCAACATCATCGCACATATCACCATCAGCTGCCGCTTCGAGTACATCTTCACCACCCTATACTAATTATAAATCGCCATATACCAATTTGTATACCAAATCGCCTGGTCCCTCCAATGGTGGTGGTGCTACTGGTAATGTATCTGGCTTAGGACAAACTAAATCAGCCAATACACCGCAGACACCAACACACTCGCAAACAACACAACCGCCAAATGCAGATCACGCACAATGGCCGTTATCGCCTTCGGCAGCAGTCGGTATGTTGGGTTCCGTCTATGACTCTGTGCCGGACAATCCACTCAAGCGTAAAAAACTTTCGTCCATGACTTCAATGTTAATGAATCGCGATACTCCCATACTACGTAACGTCTTGGCACAAGCCAATCCCGCCGACTCATCTCAGCCAATATCATTCTCTATGCCCATCGCCAGCAAGACCGACAACAAATCGAGTACCGACAAAAATTCGCCGCATGCCGGTTCAATGGGTGGACACAACAATAACCAAGGTCAGCACTTTAATGGCACCGACTTTGCCAGTGATAAGGTCAGTATGAAACTCGATTAAATATTAAGACCCATATAACCCTATAAAAGTATTCTATATACAAAAGTCACTTTTGTATCTGTATGTGCAACTGATAATTCATTTACTTTTACAGAAATATCACGATGAACCACATTCGCCTTACACAGATCGTTCGTTTGATGACGACGCCTACGAGGCCAAGGGCAATTATGGTGGCAGCTTTAGCTCTAACTCGAATCAGAAACCCGAATGGAAGCGCTATAAACAATACACACGCAGCGACATAATGTCCGCGATACAATGTGTAAGGGAAGGTATGAGCGCTCTGCAAGCTTCACGCAAGTTTGGTGTACCGTCACGCACGCTCTATGACAAAGTCAAGAAACTGGGTATAACCACCGGTCGGCCAATGAATCGCACCATGAAACGTAGTCCGAGTAATGTGGATTCAACTGCTGCTTTCTCATATCCACACGCTTATGGCGCCGAACCCTTAATGTCTTCGATGCATGAGGGACGCAATGATGAACGCGAGCCAAAAGATCACCACCGCGCTGAACATCACCACATGCCACCACAGTTGCCGCATTCTCTATTAGATCATGCATTGCTACAACAAGCGTTGGAGAGTCGTGGAGGCGATATTGCAGGACGCGGCGCACTGTTATTAGCAGCAGCCGCACACGCCGCCGCTAACCGTATCTCAACAAGCCCGGGTCCAAACGGTTCGAGCGCCATGCGTTCACCCAGTCCACCGAATTATGGACGTAAGTACGGACGTGGAAGTGAGCATGACTTTGCCGTGGAGCGGGACGGGCGAAGACGTGAACGCGGTAGAGACAGAGATATGGACTGCAGTCGGGATAATGAACGTCACATGCTGGAGAATGAGCTGGAGCAAGAGCGTGAGCGGGAGCGGGAGCGCGAGCTGACGAATGAAAGCGAACGCGAACGCGAGTATGAACGTGAACAGCGCGAAGAACGCGAATTTGAAAGAAAACGTACGCGCGAATATGAACGCGACATGGAACGCGAACACGCACGCGGTCGTAAGCGTGCCAGCCGAAGACGCTCTCACGACGATGAGGAGACTACGGCACAGGTTGAAGATCTATCTGTAGCGCGCCGCAATTGCTTATCGCCAGCGCCAACAGAATCGCCTTACAGACGTGCGCGTTCACCATCCTACTCGCCACCACCACAACCACCATCAGCATCAACACAATCAACAGCGCTCGAATGCAGCAGTGGCGTTATAAAATTGGCAACCGCAACCGCTGTTGCGGTAGCCGCGACAACAGCCGACAATAGTCGTTGTTCGAGCCGCAGTAGTAACGGGTTAACAATGGCTGACAATATCAGCAACGAAGAGTACAACAACGAAACGAGCGCCACGCTAGAAGCCGCAACAACAATGACCGCGATAAAACGTGAAATCATTAGCAGCGATGACGGACGCACCGACTGATTAATGCTCTCCATGGCGTGGCACTACGCAACCGATACCTGTTATGAATCGTTGTTTTGGAGCCGTTGACTGTTGTCCGTTATGCGTGCCATTTTACGCTTACCGCGTACATAACTTTTGTAAGCAATTTTCGACTAAATTATGACGCATGCGCATGCGTATTGATTTCTATATAGTATATTTATATATATTACCGCATCGGTGCAATAAGCGTCTGAAAGTGGCAGCAGTCGAAAGAAGCTTTAATTGAGTTCGCTAAGCTTGATTTTTTTTGTGTGTCAGCGGCAGCATAAAAGCCGCGTAGTAAAAATCGAAGTCCGAAGGCCAAATTCGGTCTACGCAGTGAACTCAGTGAATTTGTATTAAATATTACTTGTTATTTGTGTAAATTCGTGAAATGTGACAATGCGCACTTATTGTAAACAACATTACAATATTGATTTATTAAAAAAAAATATTGTGCAACATATTAAAATTCCTTGAAAAGCGCTTGTTTTGCTATAAAAGCGAGGAAGAACTAGCGTTCCACGTGCACACACAAAAAACAGTTTGGGCGACAAAAGTCTTCGCGTGTAAGCGCTGTCTAAGGCGGAAAGAGCAACAAGCGCAAGTTACTGTGGTCAGAATCACCCTGTGCCTAAAAGTAGAGTTTCAAAAATAAAGAAATGCTACAAATAAGTTAAATTTAGTAATAAAAAACATAAAATTAAAAATTTAGCTTACAATTTAGTTAGTTAAGTGAGTCATAGTCATGAAAGTGTAGTTTTTTTTTGTCAATCCGGGTCAAATTTGATCCGATGTATATGAGGTATATGTAGTTGATAAAAGAACTCAATTAAGCGCAGAAACTTTTAATTTGAGTAAATTGGAGACAAGTCTCTAGCTTACAGCTTAAACGTGGGAGAATTTTGTAAGAAAGAAAGCAAGTAGAAAGGAAAAAAACAAAAAAAAAAGTTGTCCAAACACAAGACTGAAGAGATGGTATGCAGGAACTGTTACGCGGCGCCAACAAATTATTAGAGGCTAAAATGATCGTTGGATGAATTTACATACAAAAAAAATATATAAGAGTATAACAAGCACATAGGCGCAATTTATGTGGAAACCAATCAATAAGGCCTGTTGGGTTACTGAGCTGAAATCTTGTTCTAAAAAAATTCCTGCAAGGCCTTCGACAAACATTGCATTTTACAAAATGGAAGGCCATCATTTAACACTAGAAGCTAACAATTGTCATATATGTAACTTTTAAAATTTAGATGATGTCACAAAAAAATAAAAATAATATAAAAGTTGAAAAAAAATTACAAAATTTCCAACATTAAAAAAACATTGCAAAAACTTTAAATTTGCAAAAAAAAATTAAAATTAAAAAAAAATTAAAATTTGCATAAAAAATTTAAATTTTTTCTTTTGTAACATTTTTTTTTTGTAATTATAATAAAATTGCAAAAAAATTTTAGCAAAAGTAATTTTTTTAATTTAAAAAAATTGCAAAAAGTTGAAACAAAAAATTAACAGTTTTCAAAACTAAACTACATCTTAACTACATTTATATGCCAGTGATTTGTTTGTAAAAATTAAACACAGTTTACTTATTAAGCTTAAAAGCAAAAATGCACTATTTAGCTGTCTACTTTTAATTTAGACTTAATAACTTTAAAAAATATTATATATGTATATGTAAAAGTTTGCTCAAGTATGTATGTAGCAGTTACATAACAAACAATAACAATTGAAACGATGCTACCTCAAAACAGATACACACATACATACACAGCTGTTGTTGTTGTTGTTGTAGTGTTGTAGTACAATTAAAAAAAAAATTTTTTTTTTTGTAATGGCATTACTCTTTATATACCATAATTATTATGTTCCGAATTCGCCACAAAATAAGTTCAATTTTATAAGACTGACACTGAACGCAAAATAATAGCAAGTTAAAAAGAAAAATTAAAACTAAAATTTAAAAAACAATTTATATATATATATATATATATATATAATATAAATAATAAAAATACAATGATATATATAAATAATAATAAATTATAAATGAATTTACACACTTGAAAAAATAAATTGCAAAAATCTGGCAACACACTGCAATGTAAAATGAAACAAAAAACACCGCAAAACAATAAATTAACTGTAATTTTAAATATATGTTTAGAAGTTTTCGGACTTACAGAGTTTTAGCAGTTTAGGAGCATATTTAAGAGTAATAAGCATAGATGAAAACGTGCTGGGGGCAATGCAATTAAAAATTATGGTTTGATGTTAGCATACAACAAAAGTTCAAATAAGTGAAATTAATAAATCTAACTGTAAGTAAATTAAATTTAAATAGTTAATTTTGAAAAGCATAAGCTATGTAAGTTTAAAATTTATACAAATTCGTATGTGTTTTTCCAAGTGTGCGTCAAGTAGTTGAAACTATTGTAGAAAACAAAGGTTGCTTTTATTATTATTATTATTATTATTATGTTTCCTTTTTTATTATTAAATATTTTTTTGTGTTGTGTATACAAGAAAAGTGTTAATTCCATTAATTGTAATATTACATTGCTTGAAAAGAAATTCGTATAAGCACTGGGTAGTTTAGTTTGTATTGTTTCGTAATACAAAATATAATTTTAGTACAATTTTTGACTGAAAATTTCAAAAGAAACAAAACACACAAAATTCAAATAAAAAATTCGATTCTACAAAATAAAAAATATTTTAAAAAAATATATAATTTCTTATTATTATAAATGTTTTTCTGTGCATATAAGCAATACGTAAGCGCTAAGTTCGAGCAGCACCGAACACTAAACCTACTCACAAACTGTGAAAAGCTGATGAACGTGAAATATTGAAGGAAATAAAAAAAACTTTCTTTAAGGTATGCCATCTCATGTCTGAAAGTTGTAGAAATTGAACCATAACTTTTCAAGACCCCAGATACCAAATATGCGAAACTCAGTGTATATGCATACATTTTTACAAAAAACATCAGTCAATATGTGCGATATATTAATGAAATTCCATCTTTTCCTGTTAATAATGTGCTTTTGTATCAAAATTGGAAAAAATTTATTTTTCTATCACCCATTTTCTTAAAATAAAGAATTTCGAACTTTCGCTTGGTTTTATACTATACAATATCAGTGAAAACGTGAGTTATCTTAATGGAATTTAGAGAACGTGTTTTTATGATAATAATCTCTCATTGTGCCAAAAATATGTAAAGCGGATCAGTACGCTAAGTATTAGCCCTCCTCATTCCTAATATACGAATTTCGAAATTCAAGTTAGCTTTATAACATATACATGTATCGCTCACACCGAGAGTTATCTTAATGAAACTCAGTTATTTTAGGTATTTTTGCGATAATTTTCTGCTTGTGCTGCCGAAATTCGATATAATCGGATCAATACTTTCCTTAGCCTCCATATACCTAATATACGAATTTCAAAGTTCCAGTTGACTTTACATCGTATATAACGGTCAATATGTAAGATAAAACGAACGTATAATATTAGATATATTGTACGATAGTTGAATGCCAAAAATGCCAACTGTACGTATAGCATATAATGATTTTCATTATTCTTTATTTCGAATATATCGGTCAACCGGTGAGTTATCTTCAAAAAATTGCATGAAAACGTATTCTCGCGTATACTTGAGTAATGTCAGACCTTTCTTTAGATGGTTGATATAGTGATTTTCCACTCTCCAGCTGAGTTTGAACGCGATATAGTCATTTCCGACCATCCAACTATCATTAAACTGATTCAAATATGTGATATATAATAATAAAATTAAATATCCAATTTTGCTCAAAATAATGTGAAATACGCATGAAATCGATCTAAATCTTGGTCAACACCCCATATTAATAATAGTAGGAAATCATTACGATTATCTGTTTGATTTTCTTCTGGTATAAACAGGTTATAGACTCAAAATATTGCACATAAAACTTTCTCCAGTTTCCCATTTTTGCAATAGGTTAAATTGAATTTTTAATTAAAAAAAAAAACATTTCACTGCTTAAACTACCCTATATTAATACATGTTGTGAAGTATTGCCATATTTTTGCGTAATATCAATAACGGGAATTTATAAACACCTTTGACTTCAAAATATATTGTCGTCTGAAATGTCATTGACTTTGCACGCATATACATGTGTGGATTATATTCTTTTTACTATTAAAATTTAAGTTTAAACGAAACATATCAGACGTCTATTCTAATTAATTGCCATTGATTCATTATGATTGATTATTTGACGGCTGTTTCACCTGAACGAATTAAGTGTCACCACCTTTTCGAATTTCATCAAAATAAAGTGTAGAAATTGACGTTATTGATTTTAAAACTTGCGTTGACAACGTACCGCCATTTTTATGTAAGTTTTGTGATGAAAACGCTTTAAGGTTTGGAAATCTGATGTAAAACGTTCATAAGACAGCTATAAATGTACTCATAACTTCATGACTTTTGCTACAACATTTCGAGATATTATATAAAAATATATACAAATTTGAGTATTATTGCTGGTTTATTTACCAAAAATAATAATAATAATTAATGAAAAATAAAATGTTTTCACTTCAGTGTTAAAATTTCACTACGGTAAAATTTTATATAACCTCATGGCAAAATTTATGTGGCAACTCTAAATAAACATACCGAAAAATACCAACTATAAATTATAATACAAATGCAAGGAAAATTGAAAATAGAAAACAGTGCCACAATATTAATAATATTTAAACAAAAAGTGATAATTAGTAATTTCTTTGAATTAACAAATACATAAAAAATTAATTTTATATCGAATACGTAACAATAATGATGCAGAAAAGTAATAAAGTGCATGTATTGGAAGCAGACGATACTTCTAGTACTGTATACAAACTTCCCGTTGGTGGGGACCAAAATCGAACCACTCATCGTAAGAAATAATAGAAATATGTTACCTTCCCTAGATCACAGCATATTTTTTATCAAATAATACCTATAGAATTATAAACAATATCGTTTATTTCATGTTTAACATAGGAAACAAATCAGCTGGTGGCTCAAAGAGAAAAAGGGGAACAACGCGACGGAAGAAGCGCCGTTATACGAATATTGAAGAGGATGAGCCTGAAGAAGAACTGAGATTGAGCAATAAAAAAGTATGCGTAATTTGTGGAAACAGCCAAGAAATAGTTGATTTATCATCTAATCCAATAATGAAAAAGACAATGGCCTCCTACTGCGAAGGCGATGATGTGGTGAGTAATGAAGTGCATTTGTTATATTTATAAATTATTATTATTTATAAATTATATTAATAATATAGCAAGTATATTTATAGCTTATATAAATTTGTTTTTTTTTTTGCATTACTTGCTAAATACTTGCTTATTAGATTTATACAAAAATATATATTCTTGAATTTATCATTTATGAAATATGTATGTATAATATAAACTTTCAGTAAAATTGTTTTGTATGAAAAATAAAATAGTGCCTTCAAATCCTTTTTATTATTTCGTAGAACTTGGATGATTGTTTGTCATCACTCTGCATTACTTGTGTCTTTAAATCAAGAGCTGTAAGAGAAGTACAGAATAATATCAAAGTGCGCTTGCAAGGCCTTGGAAATGGTCAACTATTAAAAACGTCCCAGTGTCCTGCGAAGAAGGAAGAAAATTTGGATATATTGGAATATAATGAAGATATTGATAGAGAAGGCAATATCAGATTAAAGAATAGAGACAACCGTTTAATGAAAACACGTACTAATGGTTTATGTCAATATGTGCAATCGTCACCAGAGACTAAAAGAAACCTGCAAGCCAGTGAAACAAGTCCACGTCTGCTTACTGCTGCCCTTACGGCTACCGTTGAACCACCACCTGCTACAAATACACCAACTTTTAATCATCTACAATACACATCACTTAGTAAATGCATTGATATTAACACTGTGCTCGATAACTCCACAGAGGATGCTGACAATAAAAATACTGTACAACTTACAAAATATAGACTGACTGAGATTTCAGGTACGACAACATCAATACAACAACTGGAAGCCAAGAATACGGACTATAATCCCGCCGTAACTAGTTCGCTCTTATCCACAGAAAGGATCGAATTATTGGCATTAGCAAATGTGCCTGAGTTGCCGTCATCGTGTTCAAATTCCACACACTCACATAACGGTATGAATCAATCAATGCTACAGGTTATCCGTGAACGTTCCGAATCGGTTTTAATAACAGAATCGGGTGGGAAAATCAACAACTATAAAAGTGCGTCACGCCCGAAGGCGCGCAGAGTGTGTCGTTTTTGTGGTAACACTTATATACGCAAAGATCACTATAATAAACATATACGTCGCTGTCGCAATCAATATTCCCGAAGCTTACCGCCATTGAGTGCCAATGTTACGAACAAACTCGACAAGAGTCAAACAGTGCCACAAGTAAGTGCCAAGCGAAATCTCGTGAACAGTGTCATTCGAAGTGCAAGCCCCACAATTGGCGAAGCTGCTAAACGTACACGCCAGTTTCACTGCACCGAATGTCAAGCCACGATGGATAATATCACACTCTTGCGACAGCACCGTGCAACGCATCTTCGTGAATACAAATGCGATATGTGTTATAAAAAATTTAATACTTTATATGAACACGACTTTCATCGCATCGTTTGTTTGGCCGAAAAGGAAGTGTGGCATGAACAAACACTGAGTGAAGATGAAGAAAATACTGCGAACGATGACAAGAAATCTGTGGTTAGATCCAAACGCTCAGTCGCAAAGTCTACCGCTAGCCGTCGTGTGACGCGTGCGCAAAGTCGTGCGCGTACAGATATCGTGGAAAAACCTAAAAACCAACCTATGGTAAGACGCCGTTTAACTGTTTTGACTAGCGTCTCTCGCTATGTGCATGGCAACAATAATAGTGAGGATAGTGATATGGATGAAGATGATGATGATGATGATGTTTCCATTGCCGATTCAATGGATTCGAGGCGTAGAGTGTATACGGGTGATTGGCTAGAGAGGCGGAACGATAGTGAAGTTTGCGAACTGCCCGATATACAAATCGATAGTGAAAAAGAATATGGTATGTAATGTGTATCGCAACTACTTATGCGTTTAGTTTGTGCGATTTTATATTTTTAAACTTAAAAATTCACTTTGTAGATCTTTACCTGTTGGATAGGCTGAAGGCGCAAATCAGCGCACAGGAGTTTACATGCTTAGCAGACAACTGTGATTTCTTCACCGATACACTATTGAATTTAATGCTACACGATTACGTGCATCATTTTAAAAGCTCATGGTTCTACTGTCAAAAATGTGGTAGCGTTTTTACCAGCAAGTAAGTGTCAAATTATTCACATATTTATATTCCAAACAGAATAGTTTATGTTTGTCACGAAGTTTTTAACGCGAGAAAGAAAACACGGTAGAATATAAAAAATATATATAATCACCTGTGAAGGATATTCGGTGTAGCTGAAGTTAATACATTTCCTTGTTTATAATACTGTTTGTTAAGTTTAAAAATAAGCATCAAATAAATATTAGTTCAAAGCCATTTATTAATACCGTATTATATTACAGAGTTTTCTTGGACTATCATTTAGACCGGCAGAATGGAGGCAGATTCATTTGTTACAAGTGCAATGAACAATTTATGTTTCAACATCAATTGGATTTACATCTAATATATCACACAAAACAGCTAAATCATACCTGTGATAAATGTAAATGTGAATTTCTCTCGGATGAAAAATTGTTTCAGCATACGAAACTTGAGCACAGTAACGAAACCGACAAGAATTTAATACGTATACAAAGTAAGGCAACATACGCGTCTTCTCGTTCGCCAAACGACAACGAGTATTTGAATGGCAGGCAACGGAAAAAGTACAACGTGAAAATACTCAATATGCGGCTGCCGTACATGCCTACGAAAAGACCGTTAGAATTACCGGGTCATAAGCCATACCGACGTCGTATTGGCGTTATAGAATTCGAAAATGAGCGAAATCCAAATTGTTGTAGTTGTAAATAGTGCCGACACGCTTGACAACAATGTACATTTGCTTACGTTACTCATAATTTGACAAAGAAAATCAACACGGAAAGTAATTAAAATATACCAAATACTTAACCATGATTCAGTTATGTAAGGCTGAAATGTCTGAGAAATATATTTTTTTTAACATAAAAACAAAGTAAAACAACAGATTTAGATATAATGTGTCAAAATTGTAACACTTTTGACATATTGTTGTTTTTAGACTAACGACACAGCCTTATATAATTGAATCATGTACTTAACGGTACAAAGAATTTACATTACACAACTGGTGTTTAACATTTTTATTTTTCGCTTTTGCGCCTATTTATGAAAATAATTCATATAATTTGTCAATAATGTTTTCTCAACTCAATTTCGAATTGAATATTGTTATTTATGTTCTTAAAACATATAGTTAAATCTACTTTTGTGCAAAATTTATTGGTTTTAAATCAATTTAGCAAATTTTTGTACAATTGGCAACACTAATCTCATAAATGATCAATATTATTTTATAAAAAAATTTCTTAATTTATTGTGCAACAGTAATTTTAACTGAAATATGGAAATATGCTAATTGGACCATTAAGAGTTGAGATCGCATTCAAAAAGTCTGAAATGTGAAACCTTAATTTTCCAAGGTACATAACATATTATGTATGTGTTTTTCAAATAATTGTAGTTAAACAAAGTTAGAAATTAATGTATTTTATGAAAATTATGAACATCACTTAATGTAGAAAATTGTGTAATTGAATCACATTCAGATGTTAATGCACACACATATTTTTTACTATGTTGCAAGAATTGTGCATGAAGTGTCATTAATTAAAAATATATACGCTTTTCAATAAATCGAAGCCACTATTAAGAATTTTATAATTAGATTATTTATAAACTATGTATGTATATAATAAATGCATATGTATATATGTATGTGAATTCAAACCAACAACTTCAGACTGAATTATTTTCTACTGTGAAGTGGTAACTTATAATTACTTATTACAATGCCTGAAACATTTTTTTATGCTAATATGCTGATAGACTGCTTTCCATTACATTCCAGTAAATGTGATATATACCACACTGACTGAAAAGTCTTTCGACCAACAATGAAGGTGAATCTCGACATTGGTGAATCTGCGAGCAAGTTGGCTTAGGTCTTTCCCATTTCAACAGAGTGAAATATTTTTCCAGCATGCCATGGTTTAGGAAAGAGGAAATAAACACTCGGAGCCAAATCTAGTGATTGCAGTGGTAGTTCATAGCCTAATTCTACGGTTAAACCAGTCATTTCACCAGCTAAACGAGATTATCAAACCATGGCGTTTATATCAAGGATGCTTTCTCCTATCAGGAAACAATGTTTTGTTAAATCGCTAAATAATTATTTTTTCAATTGTTGTACTTTTAAGCTGATAATAATATTAAAAATGTACAATTAGAATTCCAAAAACTAATAGTTTTTCATATAAAGAATTGAGCACCAACAGAAAATGCAAAATGTTCTATTTAGAATATTTATATTTAGAGTTATTCTATATAGAATTAGAATATTCTACGTTCTCTGACACCAAGTAATTCAATTAAGTTTTCTTGCACATTTGCACCCTGTTACACTTAACTGATTTTCTTATATCTGGCAATATTGTAATTGAACGCCATATTGGTGGTTTCCGTAATTTCTCTACAAGAATTTTCCGCATTCTCATTTTTTCACCGCCGCTGTTAGACGCAGATTGAGTGTTTTTTTAAAAGAAGTGAAAATATAGCTCATTGTAAAAAAAAAGTAAATTTATTAAGTAAAATGGGCGTGCAAGTAGTACCTATTTCTCCCGGTGATGGTAAGCGCCATGCAAATAATAAAATTCTACTCATTCTAACCTGTTTTATGTGATTAATAATGCAATACATATACATATACAAATTTATTACATACTTAATTAGGTAGCACATTCCCAAAAACTGGACAGGTGGTGTCTGTGCATTACACTGGAACATTAGACAATGGCACTAAGTTCGATTCTTCACGTGACCGCAATAAGCCTTTCAAGTTTACACTTGGCAGAGGTGAAGTAATTCGTGGTTGGGATGAAGGAGTTGCCCAGCTTTCTGTCGGTCAACGCGCGAAACTCATCTGCTCGCCGGATTATGCCTACGGAAGTCGGGGACATCCAGGCGTTATTCCACCAAATGCTACTCTAACTTTTGATGTTGAATTATTAAAGGTTGAGTAAACTGATCCAGTAAATAAACAATACGCTATGTTTAATAATTACAAGTAAGAGCAAAGTAAAGAAAGATATAAACCATCCCAAAAATGCTAGTTAGAAATAGTAAAACAACACTTTTAATTCAAACCAATTTGAAACCATATAGAGATGTAATATCAACAATCAGAATTTTCAATACAATTACGTATGGAGATACGTTGCACAATTGATAGAAAATGTAAGCTCGCATACAAAAGGATTCGCATAATACATACATTTAATATCTATATTTGCGCTGGATCTAACTATTAAAAGTAACATCTAAATTAGTTCATTCCATTGTAATAACTCTAAAATTCTGGTCGCGGTGGAATATTTATAAAGAATATCTGTTAAAATGCATTTAAAGCACCAGAAAACAATTGAATTTTACTATTTATTAAATGTTCTCATACTTGTAGTGTTATTAAATCCGCATTCAATATTACTTAATGAAATTATTTCGATGAATTGAACAAAAATAATTGTAGAAAGTTAAATAAATTAATTAAAAGCTACTATTTGGAATTTATGAAATGGAATATGTTAATGATTCTCACCACAGTCGGGCTGGGCAATTGAAGCGCACACGGATTTGTAATCAGCAAGGTTATCACTTCGGCAGCATCCCCAAAAATAATTGTGAAATATTTGAAATACCAAATATTCACAGTATTATTTTAAGGGTGTGTACATTTATTAGTATGTACATAAAATTGGACTAATTTGTTTATGTAGGGTACAAAACGCGAGAAAATTTTGTAGTGAAACCTATAATTGAAGTCATTTGACAATGTTTATAAAAATTTTATACAAAAAACCGTATATATGTATAAATTCAGATTTTAAAGACGATTTAGTTTCGGGGAGTACTTTTTTTACGCCGGTCCGTTAGTTGAGAAGCGTAGTAAAACTTTTACACAATGGCACTCAATGTTGGTAAGTATTGTAAAAAGCTGAAAAAGCACAAGTTCGACTCGGAAGGTTACAACACAAAAAATCATCTTAAATTTTTGTAACTTGCTGAAGTTTGAAATCTTCTAAACTACCAAAAATTTAGTTTAAAAGCAAAAATGGAAATATGTATGTTCCCATTGGTGTTGCAATTTTTTTTATATTGTAGCGGCCGAAAACATTCCCTAAATAATTCTGAGATATCGACAGGACAGTGCTCGGCTGGTTAAGAATCTCAGGTCTCTTTCCGTTAAATAGACTGAAAAACTTTTGATGCTAATGAAAATTGTATAATGAAGGTGGAAAATAGCTTGCTCAGCAGAGAACGTTCAAAATATTCCACGTTTTCTGTGCACAGTACTACGTAGACATTGATCTTGATATTGTTTCATATATATTCTTTATTCAAATGTATTTTTGTTCCTAACCGCTTTCGCATAACATTATTAGATTTCCCGATTTTTTTAAACGCTGTATTCTGAGTAATTTTCCGATAATTTACGGCTTAAGCACTTAATAAAGTGGCAACACTGATGAAATGTCGAATAGAATGTGGTGAAATTATGTGAACAGTTTTCTTTACTTTTTGTAGTTTACATTTTCATTCCTTTTCGAGCTTTTTGAGTTTATAAATTTTGTGAGTTACTGATCGTATAAAAATAACAAAACAAGTGTTGAAGGCTATTAATTAAACAATAAATGATTTGTATTGGCATGAGAGAGGTTACTAAAAGTTGTGGACGCTCACATTCATGTTAAAAAGGTATTACTAATATATAAATACTAATAAAATAAAAAAACTAACACTGGACCATTAATCGGAATTTCGCCAAGGTAAGGCGGGTTATGGAAGGTGTTGGCAATGAAGTTGCGGCTTCAAATGAAACGCGAATGGCAGCAACAAAAAGTGACGTAGTCAAGGATGTGTATTTAGTCACCAAGGACACTTTCATTGTCGAACAAAAAGTGAAAAGGGATAATGACTCAATGCCAGAATTGAATGGCTGCCGAGACGAATTGCGTTCGGTCCAACTGGATGCTTTACCTGATGAGATATTAGAGTTCATACTTACCTATTTACCACCTTATAGAGATTTGGAAAGCTGTAGACTAGTTTGTAAACGTTGGAATTCGGTAGTGAAAAGTAAGTAAAATATATTTGTGTGCGTGAATGTGTTTAACATATTATTATTTTTTTTGAATAGATTTAGTTCGACGCTCGAAATTAAACTTACACAAAGGATTAATTGATTATCGTTTAAGATGGGAAATTTTTTCACAACAGACCGCTGCAAATGTTGCAGAATGTAAAAATATAACAAAAAATTTGGCAATACCTCCTTCTCCACCACCAGTTATCGCTGGACGATTTTCGCATTCAGCTGTAAGACATGGAAATTCGATGTATGTTTTTGGAGGGGGTTCCTCCTCTGATACTACATTCAATGATTTGTGGCGCTTCGACTTGTCAGAAATGAGTTGGGAACGTCCATTGTCAATGGGTTCCTATCCATCACCAAAAGGCAGCGCTTCTATTGTATGCTGGGGAGAGCAATTGGTGTTATTTGGCGGATGGCGGTATCCATCTCTGCATCCACCATATCAACCTTGGTGCCTCTTCGATGAACTTCATTTCTATGATTTGAACAGTAATCGCTGGACATTACGTATTACCTTGCCAAGTCCGCCACCTATGGCAGGACACTCTGCTAGTGTGCATGGTGATCGTATGGTTATATTTGGTGGTTATCAAATCGCTGACGGTGTGAATAGTAACTCAAATGAAACATGGTGCTTGAACCTAAACGAGTTGAAATGGTGGCAACCTCGTTTTATGGGTAATACAAAACCACCACCACGATATGGACAGTTTCAATTGGTATTAGACGAGTATCACCTGTTGATTGTTGGTGGTTGCGGTGGTCCCAACAGTGTTTACTCAGATGCTTGGCTTTTGGACATGTCTCAAGAGTTATGGTTGTGGCGTGCAATACCGATACGCAACAAAAAATTCGGTGCAACGCATATGTGGTGCAATCCTGCCTGTAAGATTGGCACTAAATTGGTAGTGCTTGGCCCTACACCAAATATGCCGCAAGACTTTCAAATGATGAAACAGATGCGAGTGCCTGTTGGAGCATATAGACGTCCAGTTGGTGGTGCCCAAGGAGATGGTGGTGTAGGCGGTGCAGCTGCGGAAATGCCAGCACCTCGTTATGGTGCAGTACAACAACAAAATCAAAATAATCTCTTTGATAGACAAAGACTTTTGGGTGGCGGCTTACAAATGGCGGTAGTTCCGCCAAATCCACACCCTCCCCTTCAAAGACAACAACCACAGCAGCAGAGACTTGACAATGCACGTTTAGGCGGACCTGATGAACAATATTTTGCCAATCGACGTGCAATTCTGCAACAAAATCAACAACAGCAAGTTAATAATATATATAATAACAATATTAATGGTAGCCATAACAACCTTCAACCACGACGTGGTCGTCTTGGTAACTTGCATGCAAATTCACCTGCTAATGCAAATGCTGTAGAGGAGTGTAACCAAAACCGTCCATCTTGTTCAAATTCTACTTCTTCAGTACCCTCGCCGTCACCGTCACCGTCGTCGTCACCATCAGCATCAAGTTCATCCGGTTCTCGTACAAATGGGACCCCTTCGCCCAGAAACGGCAATGAGGTTATTCCTGGTCTTAACAATTCGAACGACATTGAAGCTGCGAACCGTTTGCAGCGTAATTTAGCATTACGTTGTAGGGACAACGAACCATTATTGCCCAAACGTTTCGACGAATTGTATGAAGTAAGTACGAATATGATTGTCCATGTGTAACCCCCAGCGGATAGGGGGTAGAAATTGCCAGCGGTAAGGTATGCCTGTGGTAAGAGGCGACTATAATCCATATGCGCTATGTCTGTTATTAAGCTTTGCCACGAAATATCAGTGTAGTTATGTCAGAAATAGTGCTATAATAGTTGGCTTGAACTGATATTTAGACTATAGATTCTTTCTAATGAAAAGACATTTGAAGTTCAAGCGACAAATGTCAGCAGTCATTGAGTTTGATAGGTGCTCAACTGACAGTAGCTTCGGCTTAAATATCTTACCGGAGACTTAAATCTGGTACCACGGGGGGCAGAAAGCTCTTGGATTTCTGCTAATTGGGCTTAGCGCTTTGGGAAGATTCGTGGTGACTGTGGTTTAAACTTAAATGCTGGAAGAACTGAAAAATTCGATTCAATGTGGAGTTGCATACGCAACCGGGTGCCGGATCCACAGCACGGCAGAGATTTTCGGTGGGCGTCGAACCCGACCAAGCTGATATAGGTGTCCCTTCCACACTATCAATTGGTATCCAAATAATGCTTGCAAATAGCTTGCGTTATTTGGGGCGCTGATCCACGCAATGTTTTGATCCGTTGTGCTTTTGAGCACCTCGAGGTTAGGCCGTCGACGGCCGGTACTCACGTAAATCAAAACGAAAGTTGTGCATGTATATATTAATAATTTAACAACAAATCTAAACAGTTATGATTTTTATGTTTACTATTAAATAAACACATCTTTTGTTTATTCAAAAACGGTATATAAATAACCATTTTTTTATTTGCAGGATCCATTTCGAATGGCAGCGTTTAATGTACAAAACCGGCCGCGTAGCGTTTCAAAAGATCATAATGAGCGTATACGTCGAATGGAGGAAAAGATGAATGCTTTAAGAAATTCAAGGCGTAGTGCAATGGTGGGCGAACCTAAAGCTATCAAAGAGCCATCGCCTAAGCGAATCAAACGCAATGTTCTATCGTTATTCGTTTGTGATCTCTCGGCGGCATTGGATAAAGATGATCCTCATTTGCAATGGGTAGAGTACAAGAATTATGGTGTTATACCTGGAGCACCGGAAAGGTTGATACTTTCCACAATGGTTGCGGGACACGGTGAATTGATATTATTCGGAGGTGTACATAAAGAGACGCTTGGTGAGATAACGCATCAAGTTTCAAACTCGGTCCATTTCCTAAGCGCACCGCGCGAAATAATTTAAGTTGTTATTTTAAAAGGTAAATATGGTATATTTATAAAATAAAGCTTACTATCTACATATATACGTACATTTATGCGAAATAACTCGTTGGTATGTTTAGAATATTATAATAAATAAGTGTGTATGGTCTTATTATTTATATTTAATATATTGACTTATTGTTCATTCATTGTCAAACTTTAAATTGAATGTCTTCTTTGAACTCCTCTTCATTTCTTCTATATGCCATTTTGAAAAGTGTTACTCTGAAAAGCATTAATTAATAAAAGTTAAAAATTGTTTTATTCTCTTCTAACTGTGTTAAGAGTTAAAAGATTAAAAGAAATTATAACTAAATTAAATATTAGGCTAAGCACAAAAAATGCTGCCAGAAAAATCACTAAAGCTAATATTTCAATAAAAATATAGACACAAAATAAAAACTTGTAAATATATATGTACACATAAATATATAATTAAAAATATCGATTTTTAAATAAACTGCAAAGGCCGATTCAACATTTCCTTTCGCCTGCCGGCGCACACGAGCATGTGTTAAACTAATTGAAGTAATATAAAACCTGAAAATGAAATGGCTTCATCACTGGCATGAATATATATGTGGAACATAATATATGTTTTATTTTTCTATAAATACAACTAATAAAAGTAATTTGAATTCATAACAATTTTATAAATACTTTTAATTACTGAGCAATACTAGTTAAAACGCAACTGTCAAAATTAGGTTTACAACGGAACGGCTCCGGATATTAATATATATAAATTTAAAAAATTGTTCAGTATGCTAAGGATTAGGTGGTCTACTACTTGCTATAACAGATACTTAAGTTAAAATTAAGTTATTCTAAAGTTAAAAATTTCCTAGGTTATGTTTAAGTTACGTATTGAAGTTTGCAAACTTTTATTTACAAACTGTAGGCAACACTGTTTCGCATATGTCAAATTGAAAATACACTAGAATCTCGTTCCTTGCCAAACAATTTTGAAACATTCTTTAAAAAATAATCACGAATTTATTAGCATATAAATTAATTTTGAAAGTTGCAATAGAATGAAAACTCCGCCGCAACGTAGAAGAGGGCAAAATGATATTCAACAAGCGAGGGGACGTTTTAGAAATGTGCTAAACGACACATTGGCCGGTTCAGATGATGATGGAAATGCTAGTGAGGAAGATTTACCGCAACGTGGACGTCCGCCAAAGCACTTAGCTAATACTATCGAAAGGGAAGTCCAGTCACCACGTAGCTCTCGACATAGCAGCTTGTCACCAGGAAAATACATAACACCAACAAAGCGCAGAAAGCGTGAAGAGCAAACTGAGAATGATAAGTCATCATCATCATCAGCACAACCAACACAAAAAATACAAGCAGAGAGTTTTGTTATGAAACTATTTGATCGCAGTCTTGATCTTTCAAAGTATACGGAACAAACAGCATTATATCCCATATGTCGTGCTTGGATGGCGAATCAACCACGTAATCCAAATATACGCAGTTATCGTGATAGGCGATCACCATCGCCAGTTGAAAGAAAAAGTAATGCTGCTGAGTTACTTGAACAGTTAAAAAGAGGTGAGATTCGGAATGTGAAGTCAATGCCAGCACCCCAACGAACTGATCTGCCAAAAATACCCATACTGAGTCGCGATGTTTCAAGTACAAAAGAAATCGACGAAGTAGTTTTAGGAAGTAATAATTTGAACAAAAATGAACTTCTGGAAGATCATCTGATTAAGTGGAAGACACTCAAATCTAGTTGGCTTAAACAGAAATGTAGTTACCAGAAACGTTATGAACTCAACCATTTGATCTTAAAACAGCTTTTCAAGCCCTAAATACTATATAATTAGAATTTTATATACTATATTAAATGTGTATATGTTTTAACAATAGCATGTAAATATGAATATGAATTTAATAATATTTGACATTTATGAATTTAGTGATGCTTTTTGGTTAACAAACAGTTATCCATTTTTTTATTTTTTTGCTGCGACTACCCGGACAACCAGCTGCTGGGTTATGACGAAGTCTTACTCTCGTGCACCTTATGCCGAGCAGTTTAACGTGTTATGGGAAAGTGTTGTAGTGTTTGAAGGTGAGATTCTGATATATACTTGTGCTTGCCTCACAGAACCATGGATGAAATAAGGAAACAGTGAAGGCACTCTGTCTTCTTTTTTACGGAGTTTATTTCAAGCCGGGTTTATTGCTTGTGGATTGCAAGAACGAAAATATTGCGACCGTGTATGTTTAAAGCATACTTTCAGGCGGTCTGCGCTGCATGTTAATTGAATGAATAGGCTTTGCAGGTTAGGTTTAATTTCAATGCGCTCATGTAATGGATTACCTTAGTAAGTGGTTATTTATTGTCTAGTTGTGTATAAAGTAGTTTTGGCTGTCTGTTTACACCCATTCATAACAATACCTGTAACTAATGCTTTAGTTTTAATATATACGAAGGAGTCTGTAGTTTTAACCTTTCAAAACCATAAAATAAAACTGTAAATCAAAAAGTTGCATAAGAATCATAATATTATATTAATAATTCAGATACATATTTCGGCACTTAATTTATTTTCATGCATCCGCTTATCTGTCAAACGCACGACCCGATCAAATACGTTATTGCATTTTAGCAAAAGCAAATACATGGCAACATTGTGCTCGGCAAAAAAATCGACTTGTTAAATTTATTTTGTTTATTTTCCTGTTTACTTACATTCGTATATGAAGTTTTTGGTGTTTGGTGCAATATTCACGGATTTTTGTGTATTTATAATCAGAATGATAGTAAATGATAAAGTTGTTTAAAATCATTCGCATTGAAAATTTTAGTTATAAAATATTTTACAAATCTAGTAAAAAACATATAATTATAAAATATTTTGGTGGTAAAAAAGTGAGATGTGAAAAAAGTTTTTTCATTAAGATAGTTAATGTCCTGATAAATGCGTAGATAATTCCGGAGCGTGTTAACTATAGCGAATACTCATATTTGAATCGCAATTGGCTGGTTTTCACAAACCAATTCGGTCTAGATTTAAAATTGATATACAATTATTTTCAACAGCTACAATTTTTATAATACAAATCAGAGGGCCACAAGTAAGTGTATAATTATAAGCAAATTTAAAAGAACGAACCTACATTTGTTGCCGTTTTTAAATATTAATAAACAGTAACAAAGCAGCAACGCTATGTAAATAAAGAAAAGTAACTATATGTTTGTCTGATTTACATATGCATTTTCAAAAATTGTGTATTTCATTGATTTTGTACATAACTCGCTGGAAATCACCACCCACACTACTGCTTGTGTACTTTTCATTTGTTTGGCTTTTTTATTTTATTGTTTTTCCGTTAATAATATTTCCAATTAGGTTAAGTTAAAAATTTTCAGAGTTTTTGTTGAAGTTTTCTGATAAGCCTACAGATACATACTTATTAGTTCATTGCTGAAACTGAATATTTTTATTATTGTTCACATAACAGTTGCTTGTTGGAGTTGAGCGATAGACTAAATTATTTGTTGGACATAGAGCAAATTAATTATTTTATTTTAAGGCGTTTGTACATATGAAATTCTGTCTAATATATCTACTTGTCTATTCATAAAAACAGTTAACATATATTAAACCATAGATATAGGTTCTAACTGACGATTTTTACCAACCAAGGCGTTTCAATACCGACGTTAAGCGACTGCATAAGCTTAACTGAGACGTTATGCCTATGTGCTGTCACTATTAGCGGGCAGGTGGAATCTTTCCCCTAACAGCTATTTTTGAGCATCTTGTAAAAAAATTAAAACTAATATCTTACGTCAAAGAAATGAGACCCCAGCTAAGGCATATAAAAACACTTAACACTCAGGAGACTTAACACGCAGAATTCTGCCGATAAAACAACAACAACATATAACACCCACCACCCATTTGAGCATTTTCTCCTACTAAGTGTCGTTGGTATCTGTTATAAACTATGCGGCCCTTATTTAGCGTAAGTGGTTGTATAAGGTACCTTGTCAGGTTCCATTCCAGCTACAGCCTGCTGATAAGCATACCACCTACACCCGGCATAATGCAGCAGATCAGCCAGCAGGAAGAAGATATTTAGCGAAAAACGAAATATGTCTTTAGCAAGCAATACGCTGACTTCTGAAGCATACTCGTCATCGCTCTAAACATTATGTACATACATATATGAATAATGCATTATGTATAACTCTAAACAATTGTATCACACGTTCATTATAAAAATATTTAATATGTTAAACAGCATTTGTCTGCCTTTGAATTGATTATTTATGTATAGGCAACATATTTAAGTTGATTTTGCCATATAAATTGTCTGCTTCTTGTATACCTATACGTATATTATTTATGTATAACTACAAACATCTTTGACTATTTTTACTTGTGCACAAATGATGACATCATTGCGTTAACACACATAACAATAAATACTATGTAGTCAGCGGGACAGACTACAATGCGCGCGTGCAAGCAGAACTATGAACAAAATAATGAGATTACTGTCACTTTGGGATTTCTGCAGTTTAATCTTAGCTTTTCTAAACTATTCTTTCTTTCTTAACAAATATTTATACATAAATTAAATTAACAATTTGTAAAAATCATAAAAAATTGAACTAAGTTGACAATTGCCAATTAATTTTTGTTAAGCACAAAAAATAAATACGAAAAATAAACAATTGCTGTGTTTACATATTTTTAATTTCAAAAAGGTTATTCACCTGGTATTTTTAGCGCGTCTGTTAAAATTTTTGCATTTTCATGTATTTACATACAGCGAGACATTTATTTTCATTATTTGTATATATGTAGTTTCTTCTGGGTAAACTGATTTTTACTTCCCTACCGCAACATTTTGTTTTTGTTTTGATTATCATTTTCTACTCACATTTTATACAGGGTCACTATGTATATATTTATATCGACTCAATTATGTCTAGGTAGCCCACTGAAGGTATGCTATTCATTTCACTATGTTTTGCTTTTCTCCACAAACGCTTTACGAATTTGTTGCTTGTCTTACACACATTTATTCCACTTTATATGGTTTGTCGGCGTGGTGTAGCGCGTAAATGCTTCGTTTCTTTATATATTTAGGCTTATAACAGCAAATGCGCGCTGGTTCAAAACCTAACGCAGCTATTACTTATTATTTCTCTTCATAATTGATTTGTTGTTGTGTACATATTTAATAAATATATTTAGCGTTATATATTATTTAAACAATTACTTGATTTTGCACAGCTTATCAACTGTGGGTTTTCGTTTAAACCTTAACATTTATCCACGTTGTTCAGCATAGCTTCTGGAGCTGTTAAATTGATTGCAATTGAACTCAGGCTTGTAGATTTGTAACGTTAATAAGTTTATGTAGTTATGTAGTCTAAACTCCCTGAGTTACATTATTTTATTTAATTGTATAAAGCTTCGTAGCTTCGGCAATTACTACAAATTAATTCGACATTACCATAATGACCTATTACGATAAAGAAAGGTAAACTTCGGCTGCACCGAAGCCATAATACCCTATACAGATGCATTTCTTATAGCATAAAAGTGCATAAAAAGACCTTTTTCCTGATTTTGCGCGTTTAATTTCAATGGCAGCTCTATGCTGCACAACATGTTCGTAGATTTCCTGAAGACATTTTGTCAAAAAAAAAAGTTTTTCATACAAGAAATTGTTTTTGTGTATTACAAATTTCGTGACAAACGTAATATAACTTGTTCAGGGTATACAAATGCGTCAGCCTTGTGACGGGAACAAAACATACCAATAGCAAGTAATTAATAAGCGCTAAATACCCTTACGAATGTTGAGAAAAAGAAAATCAAGACAAGAATGATGTAATCTTGAACAAAACTAAGTAAAAATTTGAAATTAGTGGTGTTGACGGCGATAAATGCTTTAGAGTACATAAAACCGGAAAATAAAAGTAGTATCTTAAAGCTTCTATATGCACAGTATTCATTGTAAAATTCATTACCTACTTAACTTTTCAATTGCAATCCTATTATTGTATATATCTCTTTTTGTATTGTTCAATTTTATTTGGTATATTCACTCGCAATTTGTAATTAAATTTTTGTATTAAAAAAATTTGCATTTGAATTCAGCTTCAGCTTATCAGCCGTACAATTATATGGAGGAAAGGGTATTAATCAATAGACTCAGCGCTAACTCATGCTATATGTATATGTTTTAGCTTATATATTCGGCATAAAATCAACCAGATTCCTATATTAAGTATATAGGGTATAGAGCAAGGTCTCTACCGATTTCATAGATTTTTTAACAGGGTATGTTATAATGATTAGTCTGCTGAGTGATCTCTGTCGATCAATTAATGCCCACCTCATACTGTCCGTGTATATATACGCGAACTAGTGCCTCAGTTTTTGAAATGTCGATCTGAAATTTTGCACACGATCAGTTCAGTTCAGTTCAGTTTTTTGATTCATGATAGATACATATGTGGTTATATAATGTAAACAGCTGAAATATTTGTTGCCTTTTGTTTAAACTAAACTAGAAGACATTTAAAATTCAAATACCCGTGAAAACGTCACTGTCGTGCCTCAGCAATTAAATTTGTATATTTAACGTGCTTTGTATACAAAAAACTAAAAATTTGAAATCACTTTGAAAGACCGCGCTTTTCAAATCCCACTGGTATTCGTTTTAGCCTACGCAATACACTTATCAAAAGAAAATGAAAAACCGAAAAATTGGAGGCGTATTTCGTTTCCACACATCAGTTGCAGTTTATCGCTAATTAAATTCGTGGCATCATAAATAGCATTAGAGCCGGAAGTTGTAGACATTTATCGCGCTGAATTTGTGAACTCATAATAAATTCGAAATGTGCAGCACATTTTTTTTGACATTTCTTTCTTGCACTTTTGTGGAAGGTAACGGAAGTAGTGAGTAAGTTGTAACACGTGTCTTCTTTTTAATTTAAGGAAACAGAGCTGCCTTATTCGAATAAAGCCATATTTTGAATAAGTGACTCCTATTTTTTTTTTCTAAGAATAGCTAATATCTTACTATGATACCGCAAAAATAATAAAAAGCAGTATCCGGCAGTGTAACGCTCGCTTATATCGAAAACAATGTAAGTAAATTTGTATACTTGTATGTATGAATATTTGCTTCCTTTTCATTGAATTGGCACTCTGAAAATATACCGTTATTTCTCAACAATTATTTTGCTTTCATTATCGCTGCTATGTTTACACTTTTTCCGCTATGTGGAGGTCCCCTAACATATTTAAAGGAATTACAACATGAGTTTATAGTTGCAACATTTCCATTTTGGGCCTCTACGTATTTTCTTTGTGTGCATGAAACTTGTTTTTTTTTAAATTTTTTTTTTTTTGTTTTTGATATTTCCTCAAAACATAGCATTCGACCTTGACATATTTACCTTAATAATATTACAGCATAACAAGTTTATTTTTGTTGCGCTTCATATCATTTGCTATAGCTTATAATGTATGTATATATGTATGGGTATGTGTATGTGTGTATATGCGCATATCAAACGTATTGTTATTGTTTTTATTTTAAATTCAGTGCAAGTGTGTGAGCTATTCGTAGACATTGATATTCACAGAGATATAGATATTGAAGTGTTGAGCCATACACATTTTCTCTACAGGAATGTGTTGAAATCATCTAACAGAAATTATAATCATTTCTATAGTGCCATCTCTAGAACTATATTTACTTCTACTGACTGCGAGTAAAAAAAAATGTTAGTATATACGCGAACTTATCCCTCAGTTTTTGGGATATCGATCTGAAATTTTGCACACGATCTTTTCTACCCAATTAGCTGCTCATATGTCGGAATCGCCGATATCAAACCACTATAGCATATAGCTGTCATACAAACTGACCGATTAAAATCAAGTACTTGTATGAAAAACTTTTATATTTGACAAGAAATCTTCACGAAATTTGGCATAAATTATATTTCGAGGCAGCGCTACAATCTCCGAAAAAATTGTTCAGATTAAACCACTATAGCATATAGCTGTCATACAAACTGACCGATTAAAATCAAGTGCTTGTATGGAAAACTTTTATATTTGACAAGAAATCTTCACGAAATTTGGCATAAATTATTTTTCGAAGCAGCGCTACAATTTCCGAAAAAATTGTTCAGATTAAACCACTATAGCATATAGATGTCATACAAATTGACTGACTGAATCAAGTTCTTGTATGGAAACTTTTTTATATCTAAAGTGAATTATAGCGTTGCTGTAGCCGAAGTTACCATTTTTTCTTGTTTTTACTAAATTACTCAGGAAAATCAAAAAAATTTTGTATGAAATTGAAAGAATACCCATTAAAGTTGAAATTTTTTAACAACTCAATTTTCAACAAGTTTTTACTTTTTCCTCTACCTTGTGAACGCTTAAAAAATACCAAAATATTTATATTTTATATACGCAAGCGAACGTATTTAATATTTCCTGACTTTTTCGGCACTGAATGTCGCTTGCTTCTGCAATATATCCGATTATTACCCGTAGAGCAAGCCTTGTGAGTGTGTGTGCCCAGAATAAAAGCGGCAATCTGATGCTATTCAACTATATTTACTATAAGATATTACGTATTGCTGTACGTGTATGTGTACATTTGTATATATGTATATATGTGTATATAAATCGCTTGATAAGATTAATGGAATTTCTCAATGCAAACCCAATCAAGTACAGAGAACACAATGTATAAAGAACAAAGCAAACAGCAGCTACCGTAGTATAGGTGCTTTGGAAAACTTGACATTTCTCATCTGTTTACCGTTTTATTTATAGATAAGCAATAGGTTGTGTTAAAAAGGCGGCAAGAGACCAAAGCTGCCGACAACAGTTCCAGTGTTGTTTCGCACATTTTTTGGACAAGTCTCAAGGCAGCGTGTAGCACGCTAACCATCACGCGCAGCAATGGGTCAGCTTATGGCAAAATTAGCCGTACCGTTACAGCATTGCAGCGACAATGTGGTAAATATATTAGCTGGACGCCGCAAACGCAAACGCTCCCTAGACTCGAGCAATGCATCTGATGAGCTGCAGAATAGTGAAACGCAATCGCCAAAGAAGTATGTATGCGCTTTTTGTTGCTTTAATTTTTTAATACAAATTTTATTTTCTCACGCAGAAAAAGACTACTCACCACCACCCAATACATTTACCAAGCGCTCTTTAAGGAGCAAAAGAATTCCGACATTGCTGTGATGGCGCTGGGCAAGGTGTGGAATCTGCACAAAGTATATCTATGCCAGAGCCCATACTTTTACAGCATGTTCAATGGTTCATGGAAGGAATCCTGTCAAGATTTTGTGCACATTAAAATTTTGGATGAACGCATCACTTTGGAAGGCAAGTGAATATAATAATACATACTACATATATGTATATGCATACATACTTACATATATACTTAATAGGGTGGAGCGAAAAAATTTTTTTTTGTTTGCTTAGCCTGATGGTAACATCTGTAGATTATAAAAAGAGAAAATTTTTGGACAAAAAAAAATTTTTTTTACATCTAGAGGTCAGTTTTAAAGTAAATTTTTTAACACCTAGAGTAAATTTTCGAGTTAAAGTTTTTTTTGGACAAGAAAAACTTATTTTTGGTTTAAACTCTTTACATTTATATAAAAATTACCGAATGTGACGGTTTTTGACTCAAAATTTATTTTAACGCTTAATGAAAGCATGTTGTCGTTTAAGAATTTTTTTAAAACTAAAATAATGACCACAAACATTTTTTTGAAGTTGATAACTTTTAATTGGGCAGAAAGAGAACTCTCCACAGCTTCTAGAACACTTACTTTTTTTATAATCTACAAATTTTAGCCTCAGGCTAAGCAAAATATTTTTTTTTCGCTTCACCCTAATACTTATATATATAAAAAAAATTGTTACATTAATTACAAGCCGTTTTTTTTTTGTTTAACCGTTTTTAGCGCTTGACGCCGTTTTCGGTTCCATGTATTCCGACGAGATCGAAATCGACCCAAAGGCGGTGATTTCAGTGTTGGCCACCGCGACGCTCTTCCATCTAGAGGGCATTATCGACAAATGCGCTGAAGTCATGATTGAGACCATTGATGCTGAGGTTTGTTTCAGGCTTTTATAACTTTTTCGCTGCAAGCTACTGCAACACTTTTTCGTTTCCGACTTATTTACAGACTGCCATTAGTTACTACGAAGCCGCTTGTCTGTATGGCAGCGTGAATGTTAAGAAAGCCGCCATGGTGTTTCTGGAAACAAATTTGCTCTGCATTTATCACAAAGATGAACAATTGCTGCGACAAATCAGCGTCGAACTAATGACAAAGTTGGTAGCCAGCCCTGATTTATATGTGATGCAGACTGAATTTTCTTTATACACATTACTACGCACCTGGATGTATTTGCGTCTGCATCCACTGTACGATGCTGAACATGCTTATGATATTGCGCCGGCGGCAGGTGTCGGTGATGGCAGTAGAAGTGGCGTTGGCAGCAACAACAATAACAATAATAGCAATAACGATGGTCAGTGTCTGGCAGATGTCGTGAAAGATTACTTTGCGCAACGCAGTGAAAGACGTTCATTCCTGGCCACAATCGAGGGTCAACAATTTGTACCGCCATTCCAAGCGCTACGCACGCAGTACTTAACTAATCATCATACAGATTTGAAAATCGTACTTAACGACAATATTATTCCAAAAGATTGGCTGCATAGTCATGTGCTTAGCCATTGGCATTCGATTTTAAAGGTCGATCATTTGCCAGAGGAGGGGTAAGTGTATTTTACATGAATGCATCTTATTTGTTATATATATAAGTATATTTGTAAACCTAATACCAGCGAAATTAAAGAGATATTATGTATTATAGTATATATATGCTTAGTTGTTGTGTATTTTTAAATTTTGCGAAATTATTACAAAAATTGAAATCCAAAATGAAGCTATAGTACCTACACACAAATAAAAAAGTTGTTCATGCAAGCTGAATTTGATCGGCCTGTTCAGGGGTGGTAGCGTTGCTTTGCCCAATAATCCATGGTAAAATTTCGTGAAAATATCCCGTCAAATAAACAATTTTTCCATACCAGAACTCAGTTTGTATGGCAGCTATATGCTATAGTGGTACGATCTAAAAAATATACTCGGAGTTTGTAGCATAGCCTTGGACTATAACTTGTGCATATTTCATGCAAATATCCTGTCAAATAAAAAAGTTTTTCATACAAAAACTTGATTTTGATCGGTCAATTTGTTTGACAGCTATATGCTATAGTGGTCCGATATTGGTGATGACGACAAATGAGCAGCTGCTCCGGAAGAATGAGATGTATGACAAATTTCAGATCGATATATCAAAAACTGAAGGACTAGATCGGTAGAACGGATTTGGGTTTCAGGTAGAATAATTATGCTTAGGATCAACCGGTCCAGCTGGCCCGGTTTGAATGTTGTGTCACTAAAATATAGCTTCGACATATTTTCTTGAAAGGTTAAGCTTTCAAAGTAATAATTAATATACTAGAATACCCCCTGAAAAGCGAAATTTTTGCACATATTTATTAACTAAGCGTAACGCACGAAAAAATATTCCTCGAACATTTTTATTGTCACACAATTACAAATTAGTAGTTCAATAACGGCTTTATACGAAATTTTTTTGCAGACCGCAAAATCTTGATGCCGATGTGTTTTATAAGAATTGTATGCGTTGTGGGCGCATACTACTCGAGCCCGGTTATCAGAAGTGGCGATGGACAGGTTTCAACTTCGGTTTAGATTTGGTGCTGGTCGCTGATTCACGCTTGCTTAGCATACGACGTCATCATCGTAATGAGCACGAGCGTTTGCTGAGCCTGCAAACCAAAAGGCAGTTTATGATACGGTAAGAACAACAACTATAATTTAATAATATATGCGCGTTGCTTATTTAAATTACTTAATATATTTTCATATACCTTAAATTATCATTCGGAACAGCACTTCGGTAACATCGATCAATTCACAACGGCAACCAACATTCACGCAAAAGACCGAAATAACCTCACTCAGTCTGGAAAAGAATCAAGAGGTGACGATAATGCTCATGGACACATTGCTGGTGCATCCCTTGCTCATATCGGTGAATCTGTTGGTGGTGCCGCCGACGTCGCAACACTTTAAGCAACACATCTATAGCAACGAAGATACGATTAATGCGGCGACAGTTCCTATATCAGAAATCGGTGCCAATTGCAATCCAGCCGGTGATGCGGCTACGGCGCAACGCCCAGGCACGCCAACAAATAGCAATGTCAGCGCCGAGCGACTGTTGTTGGCGGCAGATGATTCGGCGGTGTGTGTTGTGCCGCCTTCACCACCAAATGTACCGTCAGTGTTGCTAACACCGCCCACACAACGTGCCGCTTCTACAACGTCAACAGTATCGACGGCTTCATCCGCTGGTTCGGCGGTTTCGGTCTCCTCGTCGGCGTCGGATTTTGTATAAGTTGGTGTAGTTAAAAGCCATAAGCATTATGGAGACGTTCCATATATTTTGTGATTACTTTACTAATGATATGAACTCGTGTTCAGTTTTTTTCATTCGTTTGAATATTATTTTATAAACTTATTCAACATAAATGTTTGCCATAAAAGCGCACAAACAAATATGAAAAATGCTTTCGCACATCAAGAATTCTCAACTCACTAAATATTCGTTCAGATAATGAAAAGTGAATTCCGCTCGGACTCTGTATGGGAATATATGTGTATATATGATATATATTATGTAGAAACAAAATTTTACTTTAAATATTTTGATTTAAAAAAGCATTCGATGTTGGAACAAGTTTACATTTTTCTAGTGTTTTTGCATTTTTTCTTAAGTTTTGTAGGAAATTGAATTTGAAGCAAATATAAATTAGTCATACTCACTCTGCAGCTTTTCACAATTTACAAATCACTTCTACTAAAGAAAAAAAATCTAATTAGAATGTCGCATTCACGCGCGCTGGCGAAGTAATATAAAATATTGCTGTTGTAAATATATTTGTATTGAATTAAAATTTATAAAGATGTATATCACTTTTTTTATACTTATATAATATCTTGTAATTTACTATGTACATAAATACATTATGTATAATCATGAATGGTGTCGCACAAATAATATAAAACTAACTGCGTTTCTAAATTAATTCTCACTGCATTTTAATTAGACCCTGCACTGGATATATGCACTTTGCCATGAAGTTTGTAACACCCCGAAGGAAACGTCGTATACGCTATAAATTATATATGGTAAATATATATAAATGATCAGCGTGACGAGCTGCGTCGATTAAGTAGAAAGTCCTTATATGGAAACATTTTTTATTTGACAAATTAACATCATGAAAATTGTTATGAATTATTGTCCGAGGCAACACAACAATCTCCGAACAAATTGTTCAAATCGGACATCTATAGCGTATAGCTGTCATACAAACTAATCGGTCACAATTTAGTCCTTATATGAAAAAATGTTTTTTGGGACAAGATATTTTAACGAAATTTGGCATAGATTATTGTCCGAGGCAACACAACAATCTCCGCACAAATTGTGCAAATCGGACATCTATAGCGTATAGCTGTCATAC